AGCATTCATCATAATCTCTAAATAACACTTCGATCGCAGAGTGCAAATTTTATGAAATGCAATCCACTCTGGAAAATCGTACCAAATATTATTCTCCTATTTGCGATTTGACAAAATTAGCCTGTGGAACTTAATGCATCCTTTATAAATATGCTGATCTGATTTGATAAACTTCAATTGTTTTGCCTTCTATTCGTAAAACCATTGACCGTGAGTTATCATTAGCCGAGATGATGTGAATTGATCTGAGTCTAATCTGATCAAAGCTTAAGCTTCATTCCAATAATAACCAACTGAGCTCCATGAGTATACATAATATTAGTAACTCCTCCAACTAAGAGTTCGGAAAACACAAAACTAACCATTTTCACTCGAAGAGACCGAGTTAGCAACAACTAAGACATGCATCCGTCATGTCAGTGGTTCACCTTTAATTTTGTAGATCAAGTTTAGATAACGTTCTATGCAATCAGGCAAAGTGTTGGCGACAATAATCGTAAACAGCGTGGTTTTTACACCCATGACCTACTAAAGCCAAACCCTTATGGAGTGTTTGATTGCGGTCACCGTTTGCGTCATTTCACGAAGGACTCCCTAATAAACAGTGCGTAAAGCGCCGATCACATGTATCACTTTGTGAGTATATTAAATAAGGTTGGAAAGATGACTATCATCGAGAAAAAAAAGAAAATGCTGAGATGCTATTACGTTTATGTGTAAACAATATTAACAATGACCAGTTCGACTGATGTAAACACACGATATATTGCGGTTGAAAAACTTCATTTCGTCATTTACTACCTTATATAGTCAAACCCATTTATACATTGTAGCTTCATGAATGACGCAGTTAGAACTGTCGGTTGACAAAGAACGACTAGTTTTTCTATGTTGAGTATCACTTTTTCGATTGAGCGTATCATAATTATTTTATTTATATATCCTCCAACCCATTCTCTCTAGCCGGGTTATGAAGGCGATACGTGCGAGCAATGTTCACAAGGCTACTTCCGGTTCCAGAAGCGTTGCCTCGGATGCTATTGTGCGGGACAGACAACCTCGTGTCGGATGTCGGATCAACACTATTTCTGGAACGTCACCTTGGTAAGAAGCGATTTGTTTCTCCGTGCTTAAACACCTCTGTAATGCTTCGAGATTTCAGTCAGAAAATCATTTTAACAAAAACAGCGGTTATTTATTTCCTTAAATGCAACATACACATAATCGTAGTGAGAACAAAGTCCTGGAGATAGAATAAACTATTTTCGGTAACTCATTACCTGACTAATTGCATGGGATTTCATGTTTCTGTAAATTGGATGGGTGAATCAAATGCAAAAAGGATCATTGTGATCGGTGTGATTTCGTAACTCAGCTGCTAGAGGGTGTGCAATACAAACGTGTAGGTGCCTGCATGCCTTAGTTCAAAGCCCCGTCGAGGTTACTGAGCTTTCTCCAGTTGAAAATAAATTATGTGAGTTATTTCTAATCTTACATCTGGTCTGGATCGGATTAAACTGCCGATATGGTGTATGCTGTGCAGCACTTCCTTTGATTCCTTACTGTATTACCTCGCCTCATGGAGATATTGCCACGTTTCTTCGTCTGTAGCTATGGCATGGCGAATGAGAGAACCAACTGATTCTGACTGTACGGGCGGGAGCATTCAACATTTTCAATATGTATTACCGTGACTGTTCATAGGATGTAAAACTGGAAACGTTAACTGATTTCTAAACAATTTACAACTCTCGTTGGTTCTATCGTTTGTATTAATAATTGAAAACCCTGTGGCGTTTGGTACTACTTTTTATAATAATAATATAATAATATATATATAATATATATATATAATAATATAATATTGCTGTCCCTCTTACTTCTGTCAGTCGGATCCTCAGGGTATCGATTTTGATATCTGGTTAGCGCAGGGAAGCGCTCATGGAAGTGTACTTCGCTCTGATTATACCGCGAATGGAGAGCCTCGATTGGAACGTGCTAACGGAGATGTGATTGTTCGTCATCCCATACTCGAGCGAGGCCTGATTCACATTGCGATGAACCTACGTCAAACTCCGGAGAGTCCATCAACGGGTTCGGATATTCCCATCTATGTACGTTCATAAATCATGCTTATTCTGTTCCACAGCTATCTGGTCTTTTCTGTCTGGCAAACTTGTTTCCTTCTCAGGTTTCATAGTCAAATGAGATCGGTGAAAATCACCGCTTTACCGCTGAAAAGTTTTTAATAATGGTCAATTATTTGATTTGTGTATTTTCCATTTTTTTCCAGAGAAATCTCTATGGCGGTCAGATGTCATTCCGTTTGAATTCGCCCAATATGGATCCAAAAGCGGTTAGCCAATCACAAGCCGGTGTCGTTATTGAAATCGAGGTATGCGTTCTGTCATCCGATCCGAATACACCTGGTACCAGATTCAAAACCTGTCCTCGAACGTTCATGTTTCATGAATGGGCTCATGCCGTAATGGTATCACTAAACGGAGTTTCATTAATTAACAAATAAATTATCTTATTGGAGGAATTAAAAATAGTTTCATTTACTTGTTTCCAAAAATTAATTACATTGGACAAAATTGAAGAGATCGTTTCTGTGTAACAAAATTAACACTTGTTTGCCGGCAAAGGTATCGGTAATTGAAACTGTTCCTATGACCTGCATATGTCATGCAGTTGAAGTGAACTGGTAAAAGTTCTCGATTGAGCAAGGTGTCAACTGTACAATGAGCATAGTTTTAGCCCAAGAATTTCGATCTAAGATTCCATTACATTTTAGAAATGGTAGTTATTTTCATTCATAAGACCGCATGGTCATAACACGTGCAGTTCTGTTTACAAACACTTACACCTGTAAATGCACGTAAACATTGCGAGCCTCTCTTTTGGATGCGTTTTTCTTCAGTCACCGCGTTTTGGTCGTGTTTGGACGCAAGCTAGTTACAACGTTGAAACACAACGCTATGAAGTGGAATTCAGTGAAAACTGGTGGCCTGGTGGATGGCGCATTGGTTCGACTAATGCATTTGGGGAAAGGGGACCGCAACAGGGATTGACTAGGGGTCAGCTGCTTCGAGTTCTGGGAACCGCCTCCAGTATATCTATTGTGACCAGTACTGGCCAAAGTGCCGGTTTGAAGGATATGCGGCTTTCCGGATTGGCTGTTCAATTGGCACTACCAGAGATGCCCAAAGCTGGTCAAGATCTGCTGCCCGCACCGGTCGAAATCTGCGATTGCCCTGAACCCAGTCAAGAGGGCGAACGCGCGTTGTCGCTCAGTTGCGAGGTTGGTGCCCACCAGTTTTTAACACATTATATTTGATTATAGGAACAACAGGACTGATTAGTGTTGGTAACCATAGATAAGTCACACCAGCAGTTCTAATGATGCTTTGCAATTATTTATTCAAATCAAGATAAAAGCTTTCAAGAGGTACTGAACGTTTCACTGTCGTATGAACTATGGACTCTGCTCCAGGATACGCACATGATTGTTTTTCACTTTTCTAATCACGAGGAAACAAACACTATAATGATTGGTTTCCAGAATGAAAAGAAAAGCCTTCAACGTTGGCGATTTTCCCCTACTTCTTCTTTGATGTTATGCTGTTCACACTGTTGCAGGAAATGTTCAGCATCCACCCACTGAAACAACGATAACTCTGTATGTTGTAAAACCAAAATACTGGCAAACTGTCTTTCAAGTAGCCACCCCTTCTGGTGACAAAGCAGCAAGGCAGTTCCTGGTTTTTGGGCCAGTCGGCTCTGTCTCTTATTTAAGAGTGCTTCTTTAGATCTGGAATGAAATGTATTTGTCTCCCTTCCTGGTTCATGTTCTTGTGTTACTTCATGCCATTATTTCCTCACCCATTAAACACCAGGTGCCCGAAATCATAACCAGGAATATCCACCACGCTATATGCAAGCTATATATCCAGACAGCAGTCCGCCAATCGTTTTCAAGACTCCTCTGTTTTCTTCTCTTACAATCTCCTCCCAGCTGCTGGAAAACTGTTCACGTCTTTCTCATCCCTAAACGAGGAGCGTTTTGTGGTTTTCGTAACTGCAGTCATCTTCGCTCCCTCCTTATTTAAGGTCATGTAATTAATAATTGCATGAAAATTCCGCTGTCACCTGTAACGTCACAAACCTCTTAACGGCCTGCAATACAGTCTCCGGTTGCACAGATCTACTGGATACCCGATGGCATAGAAAATACTCGTTTGTCCTTTGCATTGGCAACACGCACTTGGTCTCTCCCAATATCTCGAAGGTGTTAGATCGACTCTAGTATGACGGACTCTTTGGTAAAGCTTCCTAAAGTATAAATCTCCCAGAGTTTCATCACTTGAATGCAAAGACTTTCTATGTGACCGTTCAGCTTCTTTTCGTGTTGAGGTAATTCGTGTGGAGGTAATTCCTGTTAACTCCGACGTCCCATTAGGTTCAGTCCTATGCTCCACCCTCTTACTTCTCTTCAAAGACGAACTTTTATCTCAGATTCCGAATTCTCCACATACTTTTGTCGATGATGGCAGTTTTCTTTGTCAGAACACTTCTGTCACTGGCTCTTGTAATCGATTATTCGCTTGTGCTTCACCTCATTCACACCTCAGTGTTAGCGCTATTTTCGGTACAAAAGTACAAGTCATTTTTAATGCCACTAAGAAATTTTGCATGTATGCATCCTGCAACGGTGATCCTTGTGCCACAAATGTGCATGATTATTAGTTTTACTGTGGTGTTGTACAACACGCTAGTCATGTAGTAAGCGGTAAAAAATTAAAAACGTACGTCCTGGTTGGTTTAGCAATGTTCACGGCAGAAACATACAGATTTTCATCGTTAATCCAGTAAATGCTCGAATCCCCCTCAAAGAGATTTCAACGGTGGCAAATACCTCTTGAGTATCAAATAAAAGACAGAATTCAAGTGATTTTAACAAACTAACTAAACCCAAATATTCCGGTCTTCTAGTTGGAAGGATGGACAAAATAATGTATCCAATAAAGCGGTTTGAAGGCTACTTCAAGTTCATCCCATTTATCGTCTACTCAGATGTATTAACACCTACCCGAATGCACCCAGATCGGTTTGTGAGTGCCCATCAGCGATCAGATGAGACAGAAACTTTCCCAAATGACCATTTCATTGCTTAGCCAAACAGAGTGATAAGTACTGAAAATGATTACTCTTGTGAACAATGGCCATTCGTAAATTCCACAATATATATTTTATCCTTTTCAGGGTTGTCGTGATCCCAAAAAACGAACTACTGTGCGTCTGCAACCCGGAGGTACGGATCTCGAATGCGAGGAATGCATTGGTTCGAACTGCGCCGAGTACGTTTCGTGCACGCCAAACCCCGCTGCAAAGTGCACCTTTTGAAAATACGCGTTAAATTATTTTCAGTTTGGGTGAATCATGTCGTGACAATATTGTGAAGTAATGATTGGAGTAGATAACAATAGAGAATTAGGATTGAAACCGAAGTAACATAAACGAAAAGGACCATTGTGAAGATACACTCCAACGATGTAATGACTACTTTTGTGTAGCCTCGCATAAGACAATTTGTTAGTTATCTGGAAAAACGGTAACGTTTTGTGAAACTGGGACAGCTAAAGATGATTATCGCTTCCTTATCTTATCATTCATTTGTGTGATGTGGGCACTACTATAATTCATCCAGTGTCGTTTAAAGTCTGAAAGCCAAACGAGCAGAAGAAAATCGAGAGAAATGGTTCGGATTTTTCTTAACTGTGAACCGTGGAATACGTTGCATTTGAAACTGGATGTTGTTCGCATAAATTACTCTTTAATTCGTCTTGTAATTGCAGAACTTCAATTTGGATTTCTTATCATGTTATTCAATTTGTATCGATTTTTTATTGAGGCTATCAGTCCCAATCAAACAGCACTATCCACTGGTTTATTCCCTACTGATATAACTGGAACTCTACATCTTCAAATTAAACGAAAGCAATTCTGATTAAAATGCACAAATGATTGTGATCTATGGTTATCTCATAATCGTTCTTTAACGAACTGAATGATTCAGTGCCGAATCCATCGAATTCCCTCAGTCTCTGTCTAGCATCACCTAGCAGCAGGATTAAATATTACGATAAAGTTAATCCAGTTTCTTGATGTGCCCGTCCTATTTGGTTTTTCAGATGTGCCAGTGGCCTGTTCAGATACAACGTTTACACCGGACAGTCATATGACACTTGCAGGCCAGGTGAGCATTGAACCTCTCTCTCTTTCATTAATCTTTGTATTTTGGCCATTTTCACCATTTTTCTATTGCTCCGATTTTTATGGTATATCCACTCTACGTTCTGGGACATTAAAGTTTTAAAATATGTGAGCTTCTAAAGCGGCTGAGAGTGATATCAAAAATTAATATTTTACGGAAGAGATAGTGAGGCACCTATAACCCCTTTTTGTCCCATGTTGAACCCATAATTGGGAACACTAGAAAAGTTTTGATTGCTACAAGACACGTAATTTTTCGAATATTCCCTTTGGCTATTGAAAAACCAACTGAAGTGAGAAATTCTTTTGGGTTGTTTATTCGCGAGCTTCCAGATTAATGTACATCAATATACAGGGTGGCAACAAATTTCTGGATTCATAATAAATCTGAGGTAAGAAGCTGGATTATAAAATTATAATCAGTTGATCAAACTCTCTGCATTCTTCATCATTCAGTTTTGAGTCTGATCCTCTGACCAATGGTTGATTACGTCATGCCGTCCGGCCATGGCAACATAGAGGGTATGGATAGTCCGGTTCTACTTACGCAGTTCGAGGCGGTCAATTTGAATAGATATTGCTTCGGCAGTGCGTAACATAACTTAGTTATCTAGGTGGATTGGTCAAGGTCCTGTGGATTACCTTAACTGGCCACTCTAAGTCTACCTCAAACGCCCCATGTTTATTAGGCGCTCTACAATTGAAATGCCGATGACTCTTCTTAATCCAACACTCAACCTGACCGGATGATGCTCTTGGATCCGCTTAATCAAACGCCGACTAGTAGGATTACTTTGACCGGCTTCGCAGCAGCTGGTAAACTGATAGACGCGAATATAAATCACAACTTGCCTATCAAAAGACTAAGAATCTTATGCATTATTGGGATTCTCACACTACAGGTGAATATCTTGCTAGTTTATCACATCAACTTTCTGTTTTATTGTATTTGCATGCAAAATTAAAATTAGTTCCTTTGGGAAAAATTAGACATTTTTACAAAATAATACAAGCATCAATCATTTACCTAATATTGACACTGAACAAAGCATTATTTTAAGGAAGTGTATCGTTTATAGTTTTGGGTAGAGTAGCCGATCCGTTGTGATAACAAATCTGTTTTTCAATGGATTTTTTGTGCTGTCTATCCAACTTGAATATAGGTCTCACACTGGATTCGGAAAAGCGGATTGTTGTGGTCCGATCGGGCAGTCCGTTCACCCTCGTATGTCGTGCAACTTCTTACCATGGAGGTATACTCACACACGAGTGGGTTATGCCGGGACCCGTGGATCCGCATCGAATGGAAGTCACGCGGCAACATGTGCTCCATCCTACAGACCCTAGCCGACCGACTTTCAATCAGAGCACTCATCGGTCTGAAGCAATCTTATCAATCAATAGTGCGCAAAAATCTGATAGTGGACTCTATCATTGCCAAGCTTCTGGCCTTGGTTCTTTCCTTGAGCAGCCCACTTATGTGGAAGTGTGGGATGAAGGTAATATAAATAAGCACATATGANATATGATTTATTTTTTTCAAATCATTTTTATCTTGGTTTATGCAGTTGCTCCTAAATTATTATTTGTTTTCGTTCCTTTTTACGCGGTTTTGCCTATAATCTATAACCCCCCACCCATTCGGCACAAATCCCACCAAACTGGTATCAATAAAACACAGACGGAATTCCACCACCTCATCCGGACGAGGAGAAATTGGGTCCGACAAATATCATCCGAATTCCGGCAAGCCCATCCACACCGTATTTAACCGAGTACTCTTTGG